TTTAAAAAATTTAACATGATGATGAGGTGCGCATAGCTTTTTCTCGAGCGGCCCGCAATGGCGGGCCCCAACCACTAGTATAAATTCATTAGTTGATAGTGTCCCTAGTTATATAGATCAATTAGTCGGTTGATTAGGTAGTGTTCCTAGTTAGATAGATCGATTAGTCCATCAATCGATTAGTTTGTAGATCTATTAGTCGGTCGATTAGGTAGGGTACCTAGTTATATAGATCACTTAGTCGGTCGATCCATCAGTTGGTTATTCATTAATTTGAGTTAGCTTGATTAATTAGTAGCTTTCTCTTCATTTCCTTTCTTAAATTTCAATATTAATTTAAGTTAGCTTGATTAGTACTCCCTTCGTCCAAAAATACTTGTCATCAAAATGGATACATTCTTTTTATTCATTTTGATGACAAGTATTTCCGGACGGAGGGAGTACTTGTGATAGAAGAGAACCTCCACTTTCTCTTCTATATATTTGATAAACACTCATTTTTATTCTTCATTTTCCGTGCTAGCATCATTATCTGATTTGTGACTTAACTCAGTCCGATATGGCTAAGTTTGTGGTACCGGGTGTTGTTCTAGGAGATCGCTATTGTACTTCTCCTCTTGTGAGACATTGGTAAAGCAGGAGGGGAAGTACACTAGCGACCATCACCGACAGTCGAAATACCGTACCCGTGAGTGAGAGCTCACCATATATACTCCACCACCTAAGAGATGAGAGTTATTGAAGGATCCTGACTATTATTATAGAGGGTTGTTGTCGTATTTATCCTCTTCTAAGACATTAGTTAAGAAGGAGGGTAAGTGCAACAACAACCATCACAGACAGTCAAAATACTCATGAGGGAGAGCCCACCATATACACCACCACCTAAGTGATGGGAGTTTTTCAAGGTAGTCTAATATGATATTATACTTTTCATGTCCGATACATACATAATATTACCTTACACACATACTAGTACTACAATTAATGTCATTTGATTAATTTCAGGACATCCCCCGTCAACTGGCTTCTCGTCGTCGTCAGGCAACTGGTACCACACCATCATCCTCCACTCCTCCCGAAGTGGAGTCACGGGTGCATCCTCTATGGGTGGTGGAGCGGGTAGGAAGGGTTCGCGACGCGGTGTTCAACTGGTGGAAGTGTAGGGCTTCAAACTTTGAAAAGATCGATAAGTGTAAACTGAGGAATGCAGTAGAGGTTGTCATCTTCGAGACCACCGATGCAGAGTGTGGTCGAATGCTAACTTGTGGCAGTTTGAGCGTGGTTGAATGCTAACTTGTGGCAGTTTGAAATTGGTCATCAAATGAGCATTACAAGAAATAAAATCTCCGATCTGGGTTCAAAGAGCCCGATGGGGATGTATGATGGGGTAATGCCGCCGAGGATACCACCACCATCAGCGGATTCGGCCGATTGTTGACCAGTTAATTAGACAATGTTAAATTACATTTTAATAGGTCAATGGTGTCATGACAGTATAATGAGGCCTTTTGGCTTAAAAAGCTCTCAGGTCGCAATTTAGGACTACAAAAGAGGGCATTTAAGCTCATAAGAATGTAATGGCATAAAAATTACGGCACTAAATCTTGCTATGTGCGGGTACTATGTGGTAGCTAACTGTGTTGAATATGTTGTACCATCTGGTAAATTATGATGCAATATGCTATTAATTGCGACAAATGCTACCAGCAGAGGACATGCTACAAGCTTATTTTACAAGGTAGTCGCATTAAACAATGTCACACGATGTTGCTTTGTAATGAACTGGCAGTGTTCCATGCTCACGCTGCTAGGTACTAGGTACATATGTATTACCAGCAATTTATGGAATTGATACACCATTTAATTGATATCATTTAGCAAAATGAAACATAGCATATACATCCATCTTTTGGCTCGAGATTTTCACTGTTGTTGATCCCGCGGAGCCTACCTGAAGGTTCAGGCCAGATTGTAGTTTTTATTTTCTTCGAAACTAGTGCCCTCTTCCTCCGCATGTAGAAAAGGAAGAAATAAATCACGAAGTAGAAGTGAAAAGCTTTTCTAATATATTTATATATCTCTTTGCTCAGTTTTCCCCTTTAATGTCCCTCTCCCCTCTTGCAAGCTAGGTCAGATCATTGCCCTTTACTTCTAGAAAATGGGGAAGGATCAGCGACGTTGTACTAGCAGCACGCCAGCTGGACGCTGCTAGTAGATTCTTTGAACACTGTTAATGAGGGGTTCTGTACTAGTAATCCCCTGTTAGCAGTATAGGGTACCGTAAAACTATCTTTTAGGGTGGGGGATACATAACCAAACCTCAAATAAATAATGCAACGTACAAATTATTGAAGTTGCAACCCAGTGCAGGTCCGATGATCATTTTTAGTGAGGCATTCGGTATCTGCCATAGTACTTTTAGCGAATTAATAATTACTCCTCCAGCTTTGTTATCCTGGTAGTAACCTTCTCGCTGCCGAACCTGCCATCTCGGATGTATCAGGGCCCAAATCTAATCTCCGAGGAGTGTGCTGGTGCTGCTGAGCATAATGTTATAGTTGATATAGTTGGCCTCTTTTTTCTCTCGCGAATACGCTAGAGAGGGTATCTTGAATGCGTAGCAACCTAATATGGATACACTTGATTATCTTATCTACTGTAGAGAACCTACTCAAAGATGAATCCACTATATCCGGGATGGTTCTCTTGGTCCAATGCCCCCAGACCAAATTTGATTTGGTATCCAATCCATAATACCATTCTTGGCAACTGAACCTAACTAAAAAACAGGCGTAAAAGGGTGCAGTGCAGACTCACTAGAGTGAAAAAGATAGGTGTCGTTGTTTTCATTTGCTCGTGAAAATCTGTAAAAGGAGAATACCAAAGTTTAACATGTCTGATTTATTCTAGTAGCACCTGCTCATCGCATGCATGGGGGGCATGTAACCACTGTTTACTGGGTTCCGGCAGCATTGCACGCCACCTCGTGCGATCTGTTGCCTCCCAAAACTCTTGCTAACCCAAAGTATGAGATTTTGGGTTTCAAGTCACTGTCCAATAGGGAATTTGTATCTAAAAATGCATGCATGACACAAGTGAATATGAGTGTTTGTGGTGGGAGGATGCTTGAAGATTTCCATCTAAGCCCTCCCA